AAAAAGAAATTAAAGCCTTCAGGATTATAATTTGCTCAAAATGGTAAGAAACAACTGCAAACACTAACAATTGGAACTTGGAATATATGAATTACGAATCTAGGAAAATTGGAAGTTGTAAAAAATGAAATGGAACACAAAAATCAACATTCTAGGTGTTAGTGAGCTGAAATGGACTGGGATTGCTCATTTTGAATCAGAAAATCATATGATTTACTAGGTTGGAAATGACAGACTCGAGGGCTGGCACTGCATTCATCATCTAAAAGAACATTTCAAGATCTATCTGGAAGTACAGTGCTGTTTTTGATAAGATAATATCTACCCAGCATACAAGGAAATTCAGTGGATACAACTATTACTCAGTCACTACCAAAGCTAGTGATAAAGAAATTGAAGCATTTTACCAATATCTTCCATCTGAAATTGATCAAACATGCAATCCAGATGCACTGATAATTATTGGTGATAGGAATGCAAAAACTAGAAACAAAGAGGAAGGAACAAAAGAACTGGCAGCACTTGCTGATGAAGATCTAGGATGGCAGCTTTCAGTCTGGATTACAATTCGATGTAAAGAAGACCCAGATCCTCACAACTGGACCAAGAAGTACCATCATGATCAATGAAGAAAAAATTGAAGCTTCCAAGAATTTAATCTTACTTGGCTCCACAATCAATACTCATGGGGAAGCAGCAGTCAAGAGATCAATGACACATTGCATTAGGTAAACCTGCTGCAGAATTCCCCTTAGAGTATTGAAAAGCAAGGCTTTTACTTTGAGGACTAAGGTGTGCCGGACCCAAGCACACATCAATAAGGAACACCAAAGGGGAATTGATGCTCTTGAATTACCGTGCTGACGAAGAATAATGAAAGTTAGGACAAACACCATAGGACAAACAAATCTGTCTTGGAAGAAGTAAGGACAGAGTGCTCCTTCGAGGCAAGGATGGCAAGAATTTTTCTTACATATTTTGGACCTATTGTCAGGAGAGACCAGTCCCTGGAGAAGGACATCATGTTTGGTAAAATGGAGGGACAGTGTAAAAGAGGAAGGCCCTCACCAAGATCGATTGACACAATGGTCGCAGCAATGAGCTCGGCGTAGGAATGATTCTGAGAATGGTGCAGAACTATGCAGTGTTTCCTACTGTTCTGCACAGGTCGCTATGGCTTGGAGCTGACTCGATGGCACTCAACAACAACCATGTGCAGGCAGGTTTCAGAAACATTGTGCTACAAAAGACACCTGTTCAAGAGAAAGTGGTTTAGTCAGGAAAAACAGATTTTAAAAAAGAATTCTGGGTCTATCTAGATAAGATAGGTGGGATAAACAATCTGGAGGAGAAAACAATGGGACCGATGGTTCCAGGGAGACATGGCAGCGGGGGAAGCAGGGGAAAGGAAGTGGGTGTTAACAAACCCAGGGACAAGGGAACAACAATTGATCCAAAATCATCGGTGGTAAGGAGGGTGTAGGAGGCCTGGTAGGGCTTGATCAAGGGCAACGTAACTGAGAGGAATTACTGAAACCCAAATGAAGGCTGAGCATGATAGTGGGACAAGTAAAAGTAAAGTAAAAAGGAAAGAACTAGGAGGCAAAGGGCATTTATAGAGGTCTAAATACATGTACATATATAAATATATTTATGAGGATGGGGAAATAGATCTATGTTCACATATTTATAGGTTTAGTATTAAGGTAGCAGATGGACATTGGGCC